AAAAGCTGGAGGATAACCACCTGGCAAACTGACTGGAAGAGATTTATATTTGTTCCCATTCCAAAGAAAGGCAACCTGACAAGAGTGTGGAAATTATCAAACAATATCATTGATATCATGTGCAAGCAAGATTCTGCTGAAGATTATCCAAAAAAGACTGGAAGAGCACATCAACAGAAAACAGCATGAAGTGCAGGCTGGCTATAGAAGAGGCCATGGCACTAGGGATATTCTAGCTAATGTTAGATGGACCTTGGCTGAAAGCAGAGAGTAACAGAAGAATGTCTATCTGTGTGTCATTGACTTTGCAAAGGCATTTAATTATGTGGATCACAACAAATTGTGGCTGACTCTGAGAAGAATGGGAATCCTAGAAAACTTGATTGTGCTTATTTGAAACCTATACTTGGACCAGGAGGCAGTTGTCAGAACAGAGCAAGGGAAAACTACAGGGTTCAAAATTGGGAAGGGTGTGTGTCAAGGATGTGTCCTATCTCCATATCTTTTCAATCTATATATGGAACAGATTATCCAGGAGGCTGGGCTCTATGACAAGTGTGGCATCACTGTGGATTGGAGGTAGACTCATCAACAATCTACATTATGCAGATGACAAAACCCTGCTTGCTGAAACTGAGGAGGACCTGAAGCACTTACTACGGAGGGTCAATGACTGCAGCCTTCAATATGGATCAAAGCTCAACATCAAGAAAACAAAGATTCTCACCCTTGGGCAAATTGGCAGCATCATGATGGATGATGAAGAGATTGAGATTGTTGACAGCTTCCATTTGCTTGGCTCTATAATCAACATTCTTGGTACCAGGAGCCAGGAAATTAAAAGATAAATTGCACTGGGCAAGTCTGTTGTCAGAGACCCCTCCAAGATACTGAGGAGCAAAAATGTCAGTCTGGAGACTAAGGTGCACCTGATATAGGCCATAGTCTTTGCAATTACTTGCCATGCATCAGAGAGCTAAACAATGACTAGAGATGATAGAAGGAGAGTTGATGTCTTTGAGCTTTAGTGCTGGAGAAGAGTATTGTGAATATACCATAGAATGCTAGGAGAACAAACAAGTTCATCCTAGAAAGGGTGAAACCAGGCTGCTCCTTGGAGGCAAGGATTCTGAAGCTCTGTCTGACATACTTTGGACATTCTGCAAGGTGGGACCAGTCCTTGGAGAGGGACGTCATACTTGGGAGTGTGGTGGGACAGTGCAGGAGACGAAGACCCTTGATTAGATGGATTGATTCTGTCACTTGAGTAATGGGGATAGGCATGTTGGAGACAATAAGATTGGCACAGGATAGAGCAGGGTTTAGGGCTGTTGTACATAGGGTCACTATGAATCTCAAGCAACTTCACAGCATATAACAACAACAACATATTTTACAGAACCTGACAGCCACATATTTCTCCCAGAGCACCTTGCAGGTTCTGATTCTTTTTTTGTCAGCAGCCAAATAATAAACTAAGTGCCACCACAGGTCTTTGGCAAACAGGTACTTCAATATAATGCAATACAATTGCTTGATGTTTGCATACTATTACACCTACAAAACAATCACACTAATAACAAAAATACCACCAAACTTTTTTACTTATCCAACTAAGAAATCACACATCTAAAAAGTTTGAGTCATATATGATTTCATGAGAGCTAGTAATGCTGGGAAAATTACTCAAAATCCATGTGTTAGGAAGAACCAAATTCATCCACAAATTAGAGAAAATATATACACATTTTATATCATCTCTACCTAGTAATGTATTTACTCAAAGTCAAAGAAAGCTCGATCAGCAAAAAAATCACCGGGGGCATTCAAAGCCAAGCCTCTGCAGAGAAGAAGGTTTAAACGTTCCTGGACAACTCTAATCTTTATCCTCGGAGAAATAAATACAAGATTTAATGTTGGGATATATTTTCCTTTCTGAATTTAGATATTGTGACAAAGGTGGATTTGTTTTAATTAACCAACTATGTGTTTTTACTACACATAAAAATTTCAACCTATATTCACATCTAACATTCATTATTATGTTATAAGGAATTATAAAACAGTTGCCTATACATTGCTATCTTGTTTTTGTTGTTGCTGTGTGCCATCAAATCAGAACCAATACTTAGGTGACCCTCCAGTGGGTTTTCAATGGCAGTAAATCCCATGGGAGGAGACTGCCCATCCTTCTCCCACAGAGCAAAGGGAAGATTCAAACCATATGCCTCTGGCATTGCAGCACAGATTTTTACCAGTAGGCAACCAGAAGGCCCTGGAACTACCTTCTTCCTATTTCCAAATATTATGAGACTTATTATAAAATCTGATCTAACATGAGATTTAACATTTGGCTTTTTCAATTGAACACCAGGAACTTTAGATCAGAATCTTCTTCTATCCAATGCAGAAAATCAGTGTTAGTCTTGGATAGCAGTATACAAAGTAAGGACTATATTTCCACATTCTCAAAAGTAAGGAATGTAATTATCTTCATCATTATTATGATAAGTAGTAACAAAGAAGCAAAGATTTTCATAGTACTTGTAAAGTGCCAAACAGGATTCTGAGACCTGTGGTGATTTATTTAATCATCAAAAGAATTCTGAGGTATGTAGTATCATTACAATCCACTTTACAAATCAGAAAACTGAGGCACACAAATATTAGTCAACATTCTTGGCACCAGTAGCCAGGAAATTAAAAGACATATTGCCATGTGAAAGTCTGCTGTTAGGGACCTCTCCAAAGTACTGAAGAGCAATGGTGTCTCTCTGGAGACTAAGGTGCATCTGAAAGAGGCCATGGTCTTTGCAATCACTTGTTATGCATCAGAGAGTTGGACAATGACTAAAGAGGATAGAAGGAGAATTGATGCCTTTGAGCTTTGGTGCTGGAGAAGAGTATTGAGGGCACCATGGACTGCTAGGAAACCAAACAGATTCATCCTGGAAAGGGTTAAACTGGGCTGGTCATTGGAGGCAAGGATTCTGAGGCTCCTTCTAACATAGTTTGGACATGTTGTAAGGATGGACTGTTCCTTGGAGAGGGACGTCATGCTTGGGAGGGTGGCGGGACAGCGCAGGAGAGAAAGGCCCTCTATGAGGTGGATTGATTCAGTGACTGGGGTAATCGGGGTGGGTGTATTGGAGACAGTGCGATTGGCACAGGACAGAGCAGAATTTAGGGCTGTTGTACATGGGGTCACTATGAGTCGCAAGCAACTCGACGGCACATAACACCAACAACAACAACAGGGCCACACAGTAAAATAACTTCAGGATTCAAATTCAAGAATTTGAACTGCAGAGCCCAGGCTCACATGCAATATTTCTTTCAGAAAATCCAAAACATGCTAATACCTTCTTTATTATTGTTGTTGTTATTAGATGTGGTCAAGTCAGCTCTGACTCAGACTGACCCTATGGACAACAGAAAAAAAAAGCCTGACTGATGTCATTTTTACCACCTCTACTGTGTTTAAACCCAGACAAGGTGTCATTCCATTTCATCAAGCATTCTCCTCTTTTTCACTGACCCCCTAGCTTTCCATACATGATGTCCTTCTCTAGGAAATGGCTCATACACCCCAAGTATGTGAGGTGAAGCGTCCCCATCCTTTCTTAGCACTAGTTTTCCACAAACATAACTAAATGTTTTGAAAACTCAATAAAACTATTTGTATTTTTAGCTTTTAACTCCTTATGAAAAAAAATTCCTTTAAACCATTCCCAAAAAAGTTTTCTGCATGCACAGATTATGTGCATAAGCACCTGCATCAGACAGACTCGGGTTAAAGTTCTGTATTCTCTATGCTGGTGATTTCTGATTTGGAGAGTATTTCACTTTCTTCCTGCTTCAGTTCTTTTTTTAAAAAAAAAATTTGAAAATTATGTTAGAATACCAAGCTGCAAGACACCTTGCATTGTGATGAGAGCACTGCATTTAATAAATGTTACTTTACATTATTAGTGATATTAATACCTGTAATGGTTTTCCTGTTTTATATTTCACTGTTTCGAACTCCAGGAAAATTGTTTCTAATCCCACGACATTACAATCTGGAAGAGTTGATACATACCTCTTAAATAAGTGATAGGGCAATCTCTGAAGTTAGGACGGTCCCATCTGAAAATCACTGCACAAGTGTTTCCTAATAGCCTATGTTGGTGTGATGCCAGCAAAAGTATGGTTGCCAATATATGCAGTTAATGGCAAGTGTAGAAAAAGAAAACCTTATGAGAACTGACCAAACCATCAAATTTGTAATATAAAAACAAAACTAAAATTCATTACAGCCAAGCTGGAACCAATTCATACAGCGAGTTTCTGGGATTGTAAATTTCACCAGCAGAGCCACTGGTGGATTCGACAGGCTTAGCCCCTGGGTTAGCAGTACAACTTTCTAAGGACACCACGAGAGGGAGATTCTGAGTATCAGAAGCTCAAAATTCTTTAAGCTAAGCATAAGACCTGAAATTACCTAAAAAAAGGCTATAAAAAAAAACACTTCATATTTTTAAATTCTACAGCTAACAGAATAAACAGGTTCGTCTTGGAGAGGGTGAAACCAGGCTGCTCCTTGGAGGAAAGGATTCTGAAGCTCCGTCTGACATACTTTGGACATGCTGCAAGGAGGGACCCGTCCTTGGAGAAGGATGTCATGTTTGGGACGGTGGTGGGATAGTGTAGGAGAGGAAGACTGTTGATGAGATGGATCGAATCAGTGACTGGGGTAATGGGAGTAGGTGTGTCAGAAACAATAGACTGGTACAGTAGGAAGCAGGGTTTAGGGCTGTTGTACAGAGAATCACTATGAGTCTCAGGCAACTTGACAGCACGTAAAACAACAACAACATAGTTTGCGAAGTTTATTTTATTTAATAATAAGAGTGAAGATGCTCCTCAGAGATACGAATGCAAGTAGAGAACAAATCCTTAGAATTAAGTGTGTATGTGTATCTCTGTCACCTGATGAAAGGTGGGAGAAAACCACTTACCAATATCTGCTGTTTTCTCTTCTGATCTGCCAAATAAAAATTCATATTTGGCCTTGGCAACACTCTGGGAATGTGCTGATGCCTTGTTCACCCAAACAAATGTCTCTGCCTTAAAAAACAAAACAAAACGAAGAAATTGTAAAAAATGCATCATCAAAATGAAAACTATCCAACAAAATAATGATTACCCAACCATGATTTATCAGCTTAATGGAAGGCTACAGGGATGTTAAAAGTGAAAATATTGTTGTTGGTGTTGGTGTTATTATGTGTCATCAAGTCATTTGCAACTCAAAGCAACCCTATGTACAAGAGCGCTAAATGACCTTCTATCCTGTGCCAATCTTGCCGTCTCAAAGACACTCATTTGCACCACTCCACTCACAAAATCGATCCATCTCATCAAGGATCTTCCTCGCCTTTGCTGCCCCTCCACTCTCCCAAACATGATGTCCCTCTCCAAGGACCAGTCCCTCCTTGCAACATGCCCAAATTATGTCAGACGAAGCTTCAGAATCCTTGACTCCAAGAAGCATTCCAGCTTCACTTTCTCCAGGACAAATCTGTTTGTTCTCCTAGCAGTACATGGTATATTCAACACTCTTCTCCAGCACCACAGCTCAAAGGCTTAAAGTCTCTTTTTATCATCCCTAGTCACTATCCAACTCTCCGATGACTATCATTTCATTATTACAATCAAAGTAAGAGACACTGTAATGACTATCAATAGGACAGTAGGAGAAAAATCAGAAGTTTGACTGGGGAACTTTTGATTATGGTGGACTTTTGAAAATTTAGTATTATATTACTTTTTATGATCAGGAAACCATAGTTTAAAGCATATTATCTTCCAAGTGATTATCATTTCCTTTGGCCCGGGGCAAATATATTTCCACTGGTGGCCTAGTGGCAAGAAGCTGTGTGCAATCTCAAAGGCACGTGGTTCAAATCCACCAGCTGTTCTGCTGGAGAAGGATGGGCAGTCTCCTTTGTAAGTAACTGCCTCTGGATACCCACTGGAGGGTCAGCTATGGGTCAGTTTCGACTTGATGGTACACAACAAGTTCTGTTAAAGTCTGCCAATAAAAAGTACTCTATGCCCCAAAGAGATCATTATATTACACAAGCAGTAACACGATAGAGTCAAATAGGGAACAAAACAGAACTAAAAAAAATGAAAAAAGATATAAACAGAAATACCTTCATAGGGTTGCTATGAGTCACCTGAGACTCAATGGCACTTAAGAACAACAACCACCAGTATTCCACTTCTACTGCATGTCCTAAATTTTTGCATCGTCCCCAGTGTCCCTCAGAATTCATACATGTCTATTCTTTGAAAGAAAACCTTCAATAATGGCAATGAGTGTGCTTCACATGACTGAATCCCTCGGGCATTCTTCCTGGGTGCTTTAGGTACTGGTCAAGTCTCAGATGTGTGAAGGGAGGAGGGATTCCCTCGTCTGGCTTCTTGTTGTCATTGTTGTTGTGAGATGCCACCACGTTAGCTCTGCTTCATAGTGACCCAACACAGAACAGAACAAAACACTGCCCCACCTCGCACCACCCTGAAAACTACTGCTGCTCCTGCACTTACACATGCAGCTGCTGTGGCAGACCACCTTCCTGACGGTCTTCCTCATTGCAACTCACCTTCTATTTTGAAGAATAAACAACAATGCAGAAATTTCAAGACACAAAGAAATGTGGCCCAGGCCAGTCAAGAAGACATTTTTCTGCCTCTTCACTGTGAACGCAAACATTAAGTTTAGCACCCAGACATTATCACACTGGTAATGAGACACCTTCTCTCACTTCTGAGCAACAGCAGACAATTAACTTTGAAGAAGAAAGACATAACAAGTTTTGGCAACAACCAGGCAACAACTTCAAAGGAGGGAGATTTTATGACTTCTATTACTTCTTTAAAGCACAAATGACTGGCAGTGGTGAGAAAGCCCAGTTATAACTGTTGCTCCCATTTCACACAAGGTCAGTGAGCAGGCCTCTCTTTGTTCTTCAATAGCAATTATCAAAGCCTTAGCTTACACAATTTTTTACCTACAAGTGCAAATTTACTTTTTGACATTCAAATTTATACCAGTTAATTAAGTTATTTTGATGAGTAGACCAAAAATCGAATCCATGGACTGCAGATGACAGGTATAGTCAGAGTTAAGTCTCAGAACCCCTTCTATTTCTTTATTTTTTCCAAGTCAGATCACCTATTGTCACTGACTGCTGCTGAGCTGTAAATGACTCATGGCTGACCCTCCGGGGAGTTTTCATACCGATTAAATCATAATTACTAATTTTAAATGGCAATTAAGGCCTTTACATAAAACTGTACACAATGTGTTCTGCACCACCTTCTCCTCACAGTGTGATGCTTAAAGATGTCAAGCTGGTCATGACTCACAGCAATCCTCGGAAGAACAGATGAGAATCTGCACTGGCCTGCGCCCTGGGCACTATCTCTGATAAGCCTGGGCCCAAAGGTACAGTCACTGTGCCCTGTATTTCTCTTAAAGTCATTCTTGTCTCTCAAAGCCACCCCAAACATCCCATTGTTAAGATCAAAACCAGTCTTTTTAATAATTTTTTTCTTAAATAAAATTTTTCTTTTACACTGGTTTGCTTACAAAGTTCATATGCATTGTTTTTCACACCTAATCTTTCCCATTCCCTTTACCCACCTCTCCCTCCACCCATCAAATTGTGCGACCCTATAATTACCCCCCTTGCCCATCCTCACCCCTCTGCTCCTAACCTCTTTCCCTGGGATCTTCATACGCATTTCATTAGTTATCCTTCTATACAATAATGGTCATATGGAGTGTTTGTCCTTATGAAACAGAGTTCTTTCACTTAGCATAGTGCTCTCTAGACTCTCCCATGTTATTCAGTATTTTACAAAATCTTGATTCCCCTGTGCTGTATAATATTCTATTGTGTGAATGTACAACAATTTCTCAATCTATTTGCTTGTTGCTGGTTATTTGGACTATTCCCACTTTCTTGCTACTGTGAATAATGCTCTTAAGAATGTAGTATACACAGCTTCATTTGGGTCTCAATTCTCATTTCCTTGGGGTATATTCCTAGGAATGGATTAGCTGGATTAAATGGGGTTTCTATGTTCAGCTCTTTGAGAAAATGCCAAACTGTCTTCCAGAGTGGTTGTACCATTTTACAATCCCACCAGAGGTGCATGAGAGCTCCAGTCTTCCTGCATCCTCCCCAACATTTATTTACTGCTTGCTGTCCTGTTAACTGTGCTACTGGGGTGATATGCTATCTCACTGTGGTTTTCATTTGCATCACTTTCATCTTGCCAGTGACATTGAAGAGTTTTCCATGTGCCTATTGGCCATCAAAATGCTCCTTTGTGAAGAGTGTTTTCATGTCTTTCACCCACTTTCTTACTGGGTTATCATTCTTTTTAGTGTGGAAGTTTTGTAGTATTCTGTAAACTTTCATTATGAGCCCCTTGTCTGAAATGTCGCTGTTAAGTGTTATTTTCCAATCTGTAGGCTTTCTTTTTACCATGTTGGGGGGGAAAGGCTTAAATGCATGCAAAGAGTTACATTTTAGAAAACATTTCTTTTATTCTTTTCTGGTTGTGTCTTTCTAGCTGTATCTGTAAACATAGTTATACCACAGGTTAGGGCTTCTAAGTTTGGTCCCATTTTTTTTTCTTTTATGATCCTTATGGTTAGGGGTTTCCGTTCTAGGCCTCTGATCCACCAGGAGTTGATTTTTATATATGCTGTGAGATATGAATCCTGTTTCCATTTCCTATAGATAGATGTTCAGTTTCCCACAGACAGATGTTCAGTATTGCCAGGACCATTTGTTGAAGTTGTCATTTGCCCATATGATAGGATTTGTTTTCTTGTCAAATACCAATGACTGTAGGTAGATGGATTAATTTGGGGATTTTTAAACTTTTATTTCTATTTTTGTAAAAGTATACACAGTTAAAGATAGAACATTTCAACAGTTTCTAAATGGATCATTTAGTTACATGGAATGCATTCTTCAATTTGTGTTACCATTCTTGCTATCATTTTCCAAATTACTTATTCTATCACCTTTCCGAAAGAACAAATATGTCTTGGAAAAGGTATAGCCAGAGTGTTCTTTGGAGGCAAGAACAATGAGGTTTTACCTCACATACTTCAGGCATGTTACCAGCAAGGGCTATTCTTTGGAGGGAGATATGATGCTGGGAAGGGTGGAGGGTCAGTGAAGGAGAGACCTAAGTAAGGTGGATTAACATGGCGACTGCTGCATTGGGATCTCATGTGTCGGGAACTGTGAGAATGGTGCAGGATAGGACAGGGTTCAGATCTGTTGTTCATCAACAGATCTGTTGTTCATCGAGTCACTGTGGGGTGTACTCAACAGCACCTTGTATTAAATAAACTCTTTGCCCCATAAGTGTCCCACTTAGGGTCACTAGAGTTAATTGGACCCCACACCAGTAACTTTCTGAAAGAGTTTCTGGCAGGATGTTGAACTAAGCAGATGATAGCTCAAGCCCTCTACAACTGAGACAGAAAACAAAGATACAGATATGGATGACAATCCTGGAACTTTGACAGATTAGGGGAGAATTCACAACAAAACTCAAAAACAAACAAAAGGTCCATTTACTAGTCTACTAGAGATTGATGAAACCCTTCAGAGTACGGTGCTTAAGTTACCTTTAAAGCCTAGAATAAAACTAACTTCCAATCAAACAAGACAGTCCTATTAAGGAAATCTATGACACGGAAAAGCACTCACTCCTCAGAATAACCAACCCTCCAAGGCAAAATCTGGGAATGTGAGGGGGGACTATTCTTTGAAACAAGACAATACTCTTGGATGGGTGAAGGATTAGTAAAAAAGAGGAAGACCCTCAAAGAGATGGACTGACACAGCGACTACAGCAATGGCCTTGAAGAGATCAAAGACGGTGAGAATGGTACAGGATAGGTCAGGGTTCAGGATATTATTCATAGGGTCACTCTAAGTCATACTCAACTTGATAGCACCTAACAATAACATAAAAACAAATAAGCTACATGTGTCAAATAGTAAAAGCTCTGAAGACAGGAATGGGTGGGATAGAAAAATTAATGCACATTACAATAACAAGAAGGAAGTAGAGAAATGCAAATACACTGTGAATACTGTAATCAGTACTATTAAAGATGTATATGAATAGTTAAATAAAATATCAATTTGCTGTGTAAACTTTCAATCAAATCACAATTTTAAAAATAATAACTAAGTAAAACATTAAGAGTACAACACTCAAAGTAGATGCACTTTACTTTCAGATAAGCTACATTTAGATTTTTTAAAAACAAAGATTTGAAGTGATAGTTTAAGATTTTTTTTCTCAGTAATTTGCAGGGTTCATTCAACCACAGTGCCTTCAGAATATCTGTATTCCATAACAATTTTATATTCTCTTTCATAATACACTCACCCTTTTGGTCAAGAGTCTCCTACAGAATCTATTGGCAAAAAACAAGGCCCCAGAACTGAGAGCATACCAACTGACATATTTCAGCTAACAGATGCTGCCCTGGATGCACTCACCAAGTTGTGCCAAGAAACCTGGAGGACAACCACTTGCCCAACTGACTGGAAAAGATATATATTTGTTCCCATTCCAAAGAAAGGTGACCAAACAGAGTGAGGAAATTATTGAACAATATCACTGATACCACATGCAAGCAAGATCCTGCTGAAGATTATCTAAAAAAACAAATGGACATCAACAGAAAACTGCCCGTAGTGCAGGCTGGGTTTAGAAGAGGCCGTGGTACTAGGGATATTATAAGCTAATGTTAAATGGATCTTGGCTGAAAGCAAAGAGTACTAGATGGATGTCTACTTGTGTTTCATTGATTGACTATGTAAAGGTGTTTGACTGTGTGGATCACATCAAACTGTGGCTGACACTGAGAATAATGGGAATCCCAGAACACTTGATCATGTTAATGTGAAACCTATACTTGGACCAGGAGGCAGTCATCAGAACAGAGCAAGGAAATACTGTATGGTTCAAAATTGGGAAGAGTATATACCAGGGATCTGTCCTATCTCCATATTTTTTTTAATCTATACGCAGAACAGATTATCAGGGAGGCTGGGCTCTTTGAGAAGGAATATGGCATCAGGTTTGGAGGAAGACTCATCAACAATCTGTGTTATGAAGATGACACAATCTTGCTTGCTGATACTGAGAAGGACCTGAAGCACTTGTTGCAGAGGTTCAAGGACTGCAGCTTTCAATATGGATTGAAGCACAAAATCGAGAAAACAAAGATACTAACCACAGGGCCAGTTGGCAGCATCATGATGGTGAAGAGGTTAAGACTGTCAACAGCTTTAGTTTGCTTGGTTCCACAATCAACACTCTTGGTACCAGCAGCCAGAAAATTAAAAGACTAATTGAATTGGGAAAGTCTGCTGTCAGAGAATTTGCCAAAGTACAGAAGAGCAATGAGGTCAGTCTAGAGAATAAGATGCACCTGATACAGGCCATAGTCTTTGCCATTACTTGCTATGCATCAGAAAGCTGGACAATAAGTAGGAATGATAGAAGGTGAATTGATGTCTTTGAGCTGTGGTACTGGAGAAGAGTATATGACCATGGACAGCTAGGAGAACAAACAGGTTCACCCTAGAAAAGGTGAGACTTGGCTGCTCCTTGGAGGCAAGGATTCTGAAGCTTTATCTGACATACTTTGGACATGTTGCAAGGCAGGACCACTCCTTGGAGAGTGATGTCATACTTGGGAGGGTGGAGGGACAGTGCAAGAGAGGAAGACCCTCAATGAGATGGATTGATTCAGTGACTAGGGTAATGGAGGTAGGTGTGTCAGAGACAATAAGATTGGCACAGGATAGGGTAGGGTTGAGGGCTATTGTACATAGGGTCGCTATGAGTCACAGGTGACTCATCAGCACATAACAACAACAAATATCAATGATCATTACTGCTATATTTTGATTACTAAAACATTACTGTATGAGACTGTAACTAGATTACACTAGCTAGTTGTAGTCTCCCAGCAAAGGATGCATATGTCATAAAGGCACGCAGATGCACACTGAGCTTCTCCATTTCCTGACTCTCCTTCTTCCTCTGTTGCTTCAGGTTGGTGAGGATCAAGTCCTTTCTCTACCTCAGACAAATAATTCTTGTTAGTCTTTAAGTCCTGCAACATTATGCAGTGAACTAGGAGGTAGAACACTACTGAAAAACAGACTTAGGCAAGTTGACAGGAATGTCTTTCTTAACCATGACCGTAACCCCCCAAATAAAAAAAAAATAAACTACAAGAGATATTTGACTATATACACACAGCCTCAATAACTGCTCTTTTTATTATCTATTATTTATTATTATTATTATTTACTTTGTTTTTCTTTTTTATACAGTTTATTTATAAAATTTGAATACATTGTTTTTAAGAGTCTTCCAATTTTCCTCACTCCCCCATCAAATTGTACAACCCCATGATTAATCCCCCCTTGCACATCCTCATACCTCTATTTCCGCCCTCCCCCACCTCCTTGGATACTTATAATCATTTTATAATAATTGGTTTATGACAATATTTGTCCTTGTGGGACTGAGTTAGCTCACTCAGCATAATGCTCTCCAGTCCCTCCCAAGTTAGGTAATAATTTACAAAGATATTGCTCCTGTGTGCTGCATAGTATTCCATTGTGTGACTGTACCATAATTTCTCAATCCATTCATTTGTGGTTGGGCATTTGGGTTGTCGC